GTGGGGTTAGCCTATGCTTGCTCATTCTGAGCTTTCTGAGCTATCAGGACAATCTTGAATGCCTCCGAGTTTTGGCCTCGATGGGCACTCATGCCCACCGGTGCGAAAGAGGGAGTCCAGTTTCAGAAGGCAGGAAAAGTGGTGTGAACTGGGCGTTTCTGAGATCAACATTGGTCAGGCATGGCTTACCACCAGCAAGGAGGATTCGCTGCATGGTGGGGAGCCTTTTGGCACATGCTCAGAGCCTTGAGGAGCCCACGAGCGCCTTGCTGGCGGTGCCGCGCAATGCCGCAGTGGGTGCCACAGCGCGGCTCAAGCTGGAGGCGGAGCCGTGAACAAACTGCGAAGAGGATCAGAGGGAGACTGGAGACCCATACCTCGATTTGACTAGTGGCTAGGCTCACTTTCTGCTAGGTTTCGCTGCCTCCTTCAAGCCGCTGCACATCGGCTGACACGCTTGCCGCCATGCCCCGGCCCAGTGGTGATGATGTTGGCCTGGTGGTGGCTAGAAAGCTAGACGCCTTGGCCAAGAATAGCACATGAAATTCGACTCAAGTTTGCTGCAAGCTGGGTGTGCAGATCTGCGACTACATCTGCTGACTAGGGTGCGCTGTGCATCCATGTCTATGACTGGAAGGGTAATCGTGTACGACTAGTGAAATGGGGAAGGTTGAGGCTGGCACAGACATCTTCACCAAGCATCTTTCAGACTACCATTACAAGGATGCGTCTTACACCATGGAACCAGCATCGCTCGCTTACCTTGTCTGGTTGAGCTTCAAGGAATTGCGCTGGCCGGGCTACCCGCAGAAACCGCACTTCGCAATGTTCCACAACTTGCCCCGTGGCAAAACATTTTCTACCTGCCATTTTGGGTGGCCCCTTCCGTACTTCCAGTTGGCAAGGTCCATTGTTCTGGAAGCCGGCTTCGGAACGGGGCGCGCCCGTCTTGAGGTTATATCTGGCCAGGAGATCTTGGAGGCTCGGATGGGCCTGGACATGCCTTGGTAATTCTTTCTCCGCCTTTCTGTTTGGCTCTGCAGGTCCTTGGGCCTGAAAGCATCTGTGATCATGCAACTGATGGCCAGCCGTGCATTCCGGCCGGGGATCTAAGAGCTAGCTGTGAGCAGACTGAAAGGGAGTGCAATTTTGACAGCTCTTGAGGCACTGTGGATTGGCTCGCCGTGCAACGTCACCAAAGCTGATGTCCAACGGTGGTTCTTGAGACCGCTGTCGCCAGGCGTAGACTGCTCTCCGCTTTTGGGACCTGTCCGGGAATTTGTTCATGTGGCCTGCATCCGGATTCCAGGAGTGCAACCAATCAGTGCAGAGCTGATTTATCTTTGCCAGGCATTGTATCCATGGCAATTTGGGATCCAGACCTTCTGGGCGCACGGCCGCAACGCCTTGAGATGGCTTTCCGTGCAGCCAAGCAGCTAGATGTGGGGCTACTCGGTGAGGTCGGCGCACATATGCTGCATGGTTCCAGTGGTGCATTTCAGTCCACAGCCTCCGATGCAGGAGGCTCCAGCAGATGGGGTGACCGTCCTTTTAGTGCAAGGGGCACGGAGGCAGCTGCAAGTGGACATCCGAGACGCAGAGGGCGAGGCTTAGTCGCAGCATTTTGCACCTCGTTTGAGATGTCCTGTCTGCTGCCTGCGCAGGCCTTGGATATGGTGAATTGGGCAGCTCTGGGATTGAAGATAAAGAGCAGTGACCCAGGACAGAATATGTTCTACGCATGGCTCTTGATACGTCCTCTGGATTTCTGAGATCTTTGTGTTAGCCTTTGAACAGCAGATGGCAAGGAGCTTTCGAGGTCCAGGAAAGCACCACAAGGTGCGGACACTATGAGCGGCTTCGATGCAACCAGACACCTCTCCAAGGCACATGGTGTCATCTACGTTCGCATCTGTTCAGGCAGATCTCTGTTGCCCAGGTGTCTTTGCCACACTCCTGGCATTTATCGGCTGTCGGCCGAGATGCAGGACCTTTGCCAGAACCATGAGAGTGCGAGAGGCAGCTTGTGAAGCCACAGCAGAACGATTCGTGGACATACTCAGCTTAGCTTTGCTTTGAGATGGAGGATCATGACGCGAGCCTTTCCAAAGCTTGGGGCTGTGATCATTTATCCTTTGTTGCCTGGGCCTAGGACTTTCCAAGTGGCACCATATTTTCACGTGTCCTGCACGTGCACTGCTTGCCTGAGCTCGGGCCTTAAAACGCAGCTTCTGAAAGCAAGCAAGCGCTGGCAAGCACCGCATGCCTTGGAAAATTCGTGAAGCCTTTCACTGCCTGTTTGTCTCAAAGTGTTCCAGGTTTGACATCATCTTGAAGGACATCGTGGTCATGCTGGCACCTCAAAATATGCAGACGGCAGTGCCTAGTACATACCAGCTAGCAAATGGAATCGCGCAAGTCTTTGTCACTCTAAGACTGATCGCGTGTAGAGACCGTCGAAGCCATCAAAGCCAAGGCCTGGCCAAGCCTTTGAGCTCGTTTTCAAGGGAGGTCCTCCTCGAAGCGACGATAGAACTTTCTTCCGCTTCGCATCCAGTGCTCCGAGCATCGCAAGCCCAGTCCCTGGTGCACGTTCCTCTGCATGGTACCTGGAAGATGTTCGCATGCTTTCAGCAATCTCGTGTTTTGAGGCATGGATCAGGACGTTGGCCTCGTTATTGCCTTGAGTCCCGGAACTGCGGAGCTCTCTGTGCAGCTTCTTGAGCGACACACAGGCCGCGAAATTGCCCGTGCAGGACGCCTCAGCATCTGTAGATGAGTCATGAGGAACATGGAATCCAGCGCATTTGCCTGGATTCTTGAACATGTCTCATCTTTCAAAGGAGTCAGTCCGCAAAAACGGGCCCCTTTCTCTGAGTTCTTTCCAGAAGCACAGACACGCAAGCTGCGGTCCAAACAGGTCAACAAGAATAATATACTACAGTGCCAGACCAGGGGTCTTTGCTACACTTCCTTTGCGTGAGCATTTCCTGGTAGATCTGCTGTCGTATGCGAGGAGCACAACTGACTGTGAGCATCCCGTGGAGCGCCTCGATTGATGCCTTGGACTCCCTGACAGGAGATGTGCCACTACCCCTATCATGGAGTGCTAGCTGAGAGCCCCGTCAACGAAACATGTCGAAGGACAGATGTCACACGAGCACCCCCGACCAGCTGCACAGCTTCGGCAGAAGGGCAACGAGCCGCTGCGACTGCGGGCCCGATTATGGTCAGGACCGCATGCTCGTGGCAGCTGTGCATGATTGCACAAGGAGTCTTATGCCAGTGAGACACTTTTGTTGAAGTTCACTGCACATAGCTTGCTGAAGAAACCCATCTGCAATTTGCATAGAAAATTCATTTGCTCACTTTGTTTCTTTTTCGTTCGTGCACCTGATGAAAGTGCTGTGGCCGACACAACGTTGTAATCCGTGTCAAGGACGCTACCCTCATTCTACCTTGATTCAGCGACTTGTTGCATTCCCCTCGCGATATTAATCAGGATATTTCAGGATCTTTCTGATCTTTCTGTTGCCTTTGCATCTTGACTGGACTGCTTCCACAGCGGGTGGCAATCGCCCTGCAGACCAACTGAAACTGCCGCTGCTGTGCAAGCAGAGGGTTTTCGCACCATGCAGGCAGTTCCGCAATGTCCTGCAGGCGGTGGCTGTTGCCAGAAGAAGTGGAATAAAATTATCACCACTCCAGCCGGGCTCGAAGCATGTTGCCGATGGCAACAGCTTGTAACTGAAGACCACGACCGTGGCACGCGACCGACGCAGCGCAGAGAGCCAATCTGCAGTTTGGTCAATGCACGTCTTGGACCTGAAGCAGTGACGATGAGCGTGCGCTCACTTGAATTGTGTGCGCTCTGAAACCTTCTGGAATATGCACGCACATGCACGCAGGATCGAAGGAGCTGACCCCACTACTTCTTGGGATGGCAAGCAGCCAGGCTGCGGCTGTGGAAAAATTGATTGAGAGTGAATGTAAGTGGTCGCGCTCTTTTCCTTTGGAGGCATCTCCCTCCTTCCAAGCCGGGAGAAGTGAAGCCGTCTACAGGGCAGCACTGGACATGGGCGAGCCCGTGGTTGGGGCTGTGGAGGTGGGTAGGTGAGCTTCATGCTATGCCATTTGCATGTGAATCCTAATCCTGTGACAGGCAGCCAGTGCCGCTGCGCAGCGCATGGCTGCAGATGAAGGTCTGAAGTGCGCAAGACATATTGCTCGGCAAAAAGCTGTGCTTTGAAGGCCTTCTTGGCAGCGACAACGCTGGGGCGGGAGCTGCGCTTGGCATCAGCTGCCGCTTCACCTGGGCTTCCAACAGCTCAGACAGCTCAGTCGTCTTGGAGCCGGTGGGCTTGGGAGCAGCTGCCTGAGACCTCATCTCGTACACTACGAAGTCACTATGATTTCTTTCGAGTGGGCAGCCTTAAGCCATCTAGAATCTAGAGCTTTCAAGATCTCTCAGCCCCAGCTGAAAGCGCTAACCCCCCATCAGAGCGGTCTTGATGCAAGCACTTTCGCTTTGATGCATACAGCTCCACGCTCATGATCATATGCCTCAGTTCACAGTCTGAACGTTCGAATGTTCAATGTGAGTGGTTTAGGCGCTGGCAGTGGATGTTTCGGCAGCGGCGGCTACGGCGATTACGGTGGCAGAGGTGGAGGTGACGGTGCAGATCGACTGTCCACTCGGTGCCGGACATGAGCAGCTGCACTTGGAGGTTCGGTTCCTGCGGTTCGTCTTGAGATTCGTTGCATTTCTATGATGAAACGCGGCCTGAAGTAGTCAAGGCAAGGACACAACTACCCGTGGTGCAGCCATTGCAGCTGCTTGCCCCCACTATAGGCATTGCTGCCTGGTTTTGCAAGCTAAGGAAAGGTATCATTGAAGATGATCTATAGCAATCGAAAACAATCTTGGACCGTAAATGTCTATGTGTGCTAATGCAGAAAATTGTGGAAGATTGATAGGGGGAAGCATAATTCCATTTGTCACTTCCCTTTGCTGTCATGAAGATAGTTTGACTTGATACGCATTGCAGGTGCTTGCGCTGCTGTGGTGGATACCGTTTCCCTTCTGGTGGGATGCCAGTTGCACCTCGAGAGCAGCAAGTGGGGTCTGCATGTCTGTGCAGGTGCCACCTCATGCACGGCTGCCACTGGACTTCACCCTGCCAAGGTCTCACCTCCAGGCGCAACCAGTTGGCAACAAGTCCTGATTTACAACTTGAGGAGGGTTTTCTTCATTGGCGTCCTGTAGGTTGAAGTGTTGCAAACCCATACGACCCAAGCTTCCATCCAGTTGCTAGAAACGGGAGATCTGGCCAACTCCTGAGCATTTTTTGTCATGGGAAATGCAGTTCTCTCCTGGTTACACCTTTTGCTGAGGTAGAGCTTGAAACTGGACCAGAAGAAGGTGCCTCTATGCTGCATGTGCAGGCCCTCGCGCAGCATGAACAAAACAACCTCTGGAGATGCCTTCATGGGCATGGCATCCCAATGCCCCATGCTGATGCAGACCAGGCCATGGCCTCGCATCTGCGAGTTTCTTCTCTTCACGTCTCAGCTCCGTCCTTGGACCATGTTTGTTTCGGTCTTGCGTTGCATTCTGTGCCCGATCGCGGTCCTGCAAGGTCTTCGTGCGCAAGGCAGGATTGTGGACTTGATGCTGAGTGTTGATGCGATCTAGAGCTTCCGGCTCCGTACTCATGAGATGCTTGAGATGTCTTGACATCTTAAAATGTGAGCAGTCTTACGTGCAGGTTTTTGCTGCCAGGCTTGATTCAGTTCCGTCCAGGCGCACAACTCAGAAGGGAGATTCGCCGCAGTTGCAGCCTTCAAGCAAATTTGAGTGGGACACACAGACTCGCGAGGCTACCGCTCGGCGCAACTGCCCTCTGCCCGCTGTACCTCATGGATGCAGGATACCTACCACATCGGAAGGAAATCATTGGAAGCTTGAGTGACCGGTAGAAAGGGTGGGTCCGTTCAAAGGCTATGACTCAGAGCGCCGATTGTTGCCTCAGCTGCTTTTTTTAGTTGTTTTCCATGGTGGTAATGCGGCTTGGCTCAAGTGCTTCAAGTGCGGAACCTTTGGTAGACCAAGCCACCCTGCGGCCGGCGCCATGAGTTACTCATACAGTCCTCAGTTCTTCACGCACTTTCCCAAGTACCATGCGCCTCACCTAAAGCCTGGGGAGGAGCACAAGGACTGCTACAATGACTCGTGACTGGTGCATGAATGATGGCGTTGCTGGCATGCCTGCGCTGTTTCTGACTGCAGGACCCACTGGACGAGATCAAGCCGCGCTGTCTCACGAGCTGTGCGGACTGGCTGCAGGAGTACAACGCGTGTGTGCAGCGCATCTCCATGCGCACCGACGGCAAGGGTGATTGCAAAGGCCAGTTCGAGGAGCTGACCATGTGCCAGGACTGGAGATTCGCACTTCAGGGATGTCATATCTGCCAGTTCTCCTGCTGGAAGACATGAGCTAGTTCCCGTGGTACCGTTGTCTACAAGCCTCCAATGCTTCAGACACTTACACTCAGTTGCGGTTTGATTGAGGATTCCAGCCCTGACACGGGGTTCGCATGAGCTAGTGTTCCACAATCCTTGATGCATTGCTGTTGCTATGTGGGAGAGTGCAAAGCCAATGTTAGGTTTCAAGAGATACGACCGCGATGCAGGACCATTGCATCGCGCACGAGATATTCCACCACGTGAAGTGAGACGAAGCCAGTTCTGTCGTTTTTACTGTGCCACGGATGGTGCAAATCAAGCCTGTGGAGGGAAGAAGAGCGATGCGAACGGATGCTGTCAATTGGAGAGGAAAAATGCCAATCAAGCAGCACGAAGCTATATATCTCAGGGATTCTGGGATGAAGGGACCAGAATCTGTCGCTTCCACGTTGGCATTGTCGCAGTGTTCTAGTATCCACTCGACTCGTCTCTACTGTAGTTAGAGACTGGTCTTCTTCATTGATTCTTTTGAAGCACCCAGGCCGCTGGCCAGTCAATGGCGCTTCCCAGCAATTTCCAGGCGCACGATGGTGCCCTCGTTGAGTCTGTAAGCGCGAATTTTATGTGCATTCTCCAGGTGGATTATCTTTCTAGTCACCCTGCCGTGATGGTAGAGGCCTGGTGAATGCAAGAGCAGAGGGATTTGAGAGGCCGCATCTGTATGACAGGTGCAACGGTCTTCAAGCGGGGCATCGCTGTATCTGCGTCCTGTGAGCGAGGAGCATGTCCCTAACACAGAGACCCGCGCACCCACCGCCAATGTCCAATGCACTCGCAGGGCTGTACTCTCCTCAGCGCAGCTGTGCGGATACCAGATGGAAGGCTGGAGCTCTCATGCTCTGTTTTCAGTGCTGAAAATGGAAATCAGCACCTTTACCTCGGAGAGATGGCGGCAGGCAGCTGCCTTCGGACATTGCGGAGCTGTGCGTGGTTCGTGGTGTGCTGGTCGGCCACGGGCCGCTGCTGCTACAGTGACAGTCCCAGATGCTGGCGCACAAAGCCCGTTGACAACAGTCGGAACATGTTGAATGATGATGATGATAATGATAGTGTTTTAATCGCCGTGATTGAGATGCATGAGGATCCAACTAGTAGAATCCACAACCCAAAAGCATGGTTATCACTTGAAATATGTCGTGGAAAATAATTGTGCATGGAGCCGCGGAGACACCGCACCCACAAGAGTCGTAAATCTACGCTACTTTGCCTTGTTCACCATTCAAGTACATCCAAAAGCCGCTTTGCTTCAAGCTGTGAACAGCTTTCGCGACCAAGAGCCATGGCTGGCATCAAGGCAGCCTTCGTATACCATCTCCTGGCTGCCTGTGCCGCAGGTGCAGTTTCGGCGGCAGAGGTTTCAATACAAAAGTTATCATGAATCAGCATTTAGAACCTTTTTCAGTAGTAGATCCCCATTCTTAAAGAGTCTCCCAATCCAGCTCAGGTTTCAATGATGGGAAGATGCAGTCATCTTGATTCAGCCTGCGATATGGAAGATGACAACTCCCAGCTGCAGACAAAGCCAGCTGCAAGCGGATCTCCGGATTGGTTGCTTTGGAAGATGAAGGGCCGAATTGATGACCTTGAGCACAGAGTTCAAGCTCAAGAGGACACGACGTCTTTGGACTGCAGCTTTGTTTTCAGCGTGGAGCAGCCACAAAAGGGTCGTATTTTCGTACCTGTAGGGAGCACCTGTGGCTACGACGATAGCGTGGCTGAATCGGATGTTGTTTGCACAGCGACTCAGGGCCCCTCAGACAATCCACAATCGGCAACCTCAGACATAACCCCGTTTGAGTTGCAGCCGGCAAGCTCGGGGTCAAACTACATGGTGGAGATTGTTGCCAGCAGCGACCAGTACAATTTCGAACCCCCTGACGAGTGGCACATTGCGTGCCGCGCGTCTACTACCCAGGCCTTAGGGCCTAAGTAGCTGCAGCGGAAGACCTCCGCTTCCAGTAGTTCGTAAATCATGGAACATGTGGAGTGTAAACCGCGTACGTATCTTACGTGATGCTTGCGTGCTATAAACCATGGCTATCTGCATAACGAGCCACCAGTATGGGTGGACCTGATACATGGATACTCAGCCTTGGTTCAGACTTCTACGCGTACTGAGTGATAGCTTTTGTAATATGTCTGCAGGATCGGTCAATAGCTGCTGGGAACGGTGTTCAGCTTTTGCAAACCCAGGTGTTCCAATGATGTTCTTTTGTCTCCGTTGCTAAAGGCGGCTTACAGTCACCTTGGCAACCAGTGACAGGTGCAAATGCACCTGCTTTATGATAGACAAAGGTGGAGCTGGCTTCCATGAGCTGCACCTTGAAATGTACGTGTTTGATCGGGTTTGAAGACGGTGATGGTCGTTTCAAGCTGCCAAGGAGCAGCAGAGGCGTTGGAGGCATTCAGTCTGCAAGCCAGACAAACTGCAGCTTCTGCAATATTGCAATGTTCCGCGGTTCTGTCAGCACTTTGGTAGCTGTCTTCGTAGAAGAGACTGAGCAAGCAAAATTCATGGCTCTACTCACCGACGTCTAGTTAATGTTTCTGCGGTCTACCAGAAAGTTGAAACTGCTTAGAGACCTTAGCGAGCAAGTGCATGTATGCAACAAATTACTAGCACTCAGCATATCATAGCTGGGCTGATGTTCGGACAGATCTTCAAGCTATAGCCACGGATAGCCACGGATTTCTTGAGGCCTGGCGCGCGGCTTCACTTGGATGCCGAAGAATTGCTGCCGACAGGCGGATTGGGATGGGGGGGCATCTCAAGTTCACATCCATTTCGTCAGGCGAAACCAGTGTTCGAGCACCCCTCGCCCCAGACTTGGACATCTGCCGAGCACATGGCAAGCCCTCAGAGCTTCTCAAGATTGCTCTAGTACAGGCTTTTGCACTGCGGATGTCGCAGCTGCCATCAAGGCTCGACGGGTGCCAAAAGCAGTTGAAATGCCGCATGAAAGGAGCTAGAATGTGTGTAGGTGAGTGAGCACGGAGTGATTTCACAGTAGTGGGACCGCGGCAAAGAGTAAGACCCTTCAAGCACTTGAAGCCATCATGTTTAACATCGTTGAACTGGGCCGCTGTGCCGCCCTGTGCCAACATGGAATCCGGGAAAGTCTTCATTTAGAATCACAGGTCGCTCGAGGAGGCCGCCAGAAACCTGGCTTCCGAAGTTGCGACGGTTCTAGCAGCAGGCAAGGTCCTTGGAATTGAGACCTGTGGCTGCATGTTGAGGTGAGTTACCACAGATAATGCTTAGCTGCAAGCACTTGCGAATCATGCTTCATAACATGGCCTGAGTCGTCTCACAACTCCTGGGGCATACACCAAGCTGAAGCCAGCAAAGGCTGTGAAACCAGTTCACTTTGCAACCTTCCAGGCTGTGATTTGCAGAATGTGCAGATGTGCGTAGGTTACGGAGATTGACTTCAAACCTCTCGCTGGGCTGGGCAAGCAACTCCTCTCAAGCACACCTCAGCCATCCTCAGCCAACATGGGTCTGAAGCAAGGCAGCACTCCCACACGCTTCATCACTTGCTGAGCAACCCTGCTTGGTTTCACGCCTGCCCGAACAGACATTCTATTCACTATGCTGCAGGCTAGCAGGCTGACCGAGTTTCATGCAAAGGCTCCATTCCTCCTGTTTTTCTGTGGAATTCGAGAGGGGCACGGTGTCTGTGAGTGACTGAATGCCTTACAAGGTCCCGCGCGCCTTCAAATTACAAATTACACATTGGAGGATGCCTCAAAGACAAGGACCTCAGCCAAAGAGGGGCAACAGGCTGATTCATCCAGATGCTGCGATTGAAAAGCTTAGCTGACAAATAGCGTTAGCATGCCATAGCCTGCCCCTCAGTCTTAGGTGCTTGTTAATTACTAGGTACTTATCAACCTAGCAGGCATGCCTCAACCTTGCAGCCTGCTCAACTTTGCAGAGCTTTCTCAATGCCAAAGTCTCGTCATCAACAGGTCTTGCAGGTCCTGAGAAGTATGCGACGTGCATGCATGAAGCAAGCGAGTGCGTAACTAGTGTTGGGGCGTGATTCTCGCCGGTTGAACAAGAAGGACTCGGCCCGTTCGGCAACGGAACTTGCCAAGCGTGGAATTGGAAACAGCTCGTGGGTCTGGAGTGCTCCTGAATAGATGGGGCTGCAATTGAAAGAGTTTTTCCTACTTTTTGTATAAGACGGCCACGTGCTGGCTTCCAAGGCCTTCAGGACAGTTCGAGATGATGTTCGCGAAAAGAATTTGGCATGTCGCGAAAGAAGTATCGGAAGCTGTCATTCCTTACATGCGGTCAAACGCATTTCCTGGCCAGTATTCTGATGGAGGTATCCCGTGCTGCTTCTTGGGGGATCAGTATCCCCAGTAATGAAGCAGTGCTTGTGAAACATGAGTTCAGTCTCAGAATTGCCCAAAAACTGGCAAAAGATCTGCGCAAGATCCGCGAACGTTTGCGGCAAGCCGAGCACGCCCCTGGCCTTGCAAGCCATGGGAGACGGTGGCCCGACAGTGGGCTTCTGCGTTCGTTTCTGCTTCAAATGTGCTTCCGCGAAAGCTTGCGATGGTGTTCGCGAAATGAATTTGGGCTTTCCGTGAAGAGGTCATTTTGGGATGAAAGAACTTTGGATAACACCACAATCCCACGTTTGAGCTGCTTTTTGCATTGCTTGTCTTGCAGGCCCGCGAGAAAAACCTGTGAATGCAACATGTCTTCAGAGACCAAATTGCTCGGATCTCTCGCCTGAAGCACAAGTCAAGTCCGTTGCGCCCTTCGCCAGTAGCACAAGATCCTGACATGAGATTCGTCCAGCGGTTGCATGCCAGTGCCAACTGACAAGAATTTACGTAGCCTTGTTTGAACGACACCTGCTTGTTTTGAGGAGTAATCGCACATGCGGTCCAGAGGCATCTGAACCAAAGACATACAGAAGATGGCGGTTATCGTAGAGACTAATTAATTAGATCGCTGTTTTGCGTCAAAGCTAGTTGGCAGGATTTCAAAGCACTCGTACTCGCTCAACCATATCAATGTCCAGATTCTCCCTGAGGCCTTTCTGCGAAGAGCCCTGGATCCGGTCTTGTGCCAGAGGCAAAACTGAAGCGACGGTGTTCCTTCTAATCGAGTCCAGCAATGCTTGCTTGTCTGAGACCGTGGGAGGTTCGCGTGGTCAGGGCACAATGGTCTGTGAAGCAGGACCCGAGCTGATCTCATATATCTCATACATGGCATACCATAGCATTATCTATAGCCTAAGCTTCTACGAGCACCACATGATTTGTTTGAGCCGACCTGCCTGGGAGGATGGAGTGGAGCCAGTTGTGGGAGCAGAGGTGGGCTTAGAGGCGCCAGGTTTCCGTGTTTGTTCGTCATATTCTTATGTGGCACAACTGCATTGCGACTCTAGAGCAGCAGCACGACCTCTCTCGCAGGTCTCTGCTCGCGATCTCGCCAAGGCAAACCAGTGCAGAGATATTATTGCAGAGCCTTGCGATTGCTTCATCCCACGTCTCTTCTAGTCTTGCCGCAGTCGTGATTCCAACTCCTTGACCTTGCCCAGATGTCACGTCAAAGTTGTTGGTTGACTCTTCCAACTTCTTCGTCGCAATAAAGTTCATCTTTCACCGTGCAGTCTTTTCAAGCGTGTTGAAGGCAGCCGGCCGCAGTGCGGAGCTTGGCCTGCGCGACCTTGCGGAGGTTCTCTGGTATCAGGACCGCCAAGCAGAGTTGTCGTTGTAGCGCTCTTCAGAGCCTGTGTTGTTCAAAAACATCTAAAGCCAGACTTTCATTCAAGGCCCCGTCTGTTAAGCCCACAAAATGTTGTACCACAGCTCCGAATGAACATGGCATTCCAGCCCTTCTTTCGACCAGCTTCGGGCGTGTGGAGCACAGGCGTAGTCCAATCTACAACACGCCTCTTTGCTTTGTCCTCTCCCATGCTGTAGTTGATGCTTAGGCTTTGGCCTGTTTCACTGGACCCAAACCACAAGGTTCTGGACGTCATAGTGGCACCCAAAGCAAGATGTCCTCAGAGTCAGCAACAGCAACCTCCAATGCAGTACTGCACAGCGGGAGCAGAGCGGCCATCAGCTCACTGCCAGCAGAGCCATGGCGAATGTGAGGTGCTACTCGTAGGTGAATTTGTGTCATGTCTCTCAATATCATTTGAAAGCACAAGCCAACCGGCGCCACAACCAGACTGAATAGCCGTAGCCATTTTGCGAATGTAAGCCCTTATGAAAGTGTTTTGCAACCAGAGCTGACAAAATTGTGGCCGGGGCGCTGAATTCTGCAGATGGCTTGAAGGTTGGAAACCAGTTTTAGAGGAAATAGACCCAGCAAACCCGTGCCAAAGAATTGCAAGATGAAAGAGGGCCAGATCTTCAACATCAATGCTATACCAGGAGCTTCCGGCCAATGGGTCGCCTTGCACCCAGACATGATCGACTTGCATACTCGTAGCTGCTGACGGACTCGTACAAAGCAACACATTTGCTCTGTGAGGCTGCGGCTGTTGGACTTCGGCTGGGGTGTTCGTGCCGTGGGTGCCGAGGCACACGTCTGCGTTGAGCTTTGAATTCCGCAGCATGTGGCTCCCTATGTTGGCGTGTGGCCCCTAGTTTCTGCAGAATCTTTGCTTTCCGTGCTGCCAGCAAGGCGTCCACAAGCTTGACTCGTTGCAGCGGTTGCTGCGCCGGGGCCTCGAAAGCAAGAGCTGCAGGAGGCTGCATATGAGCTGATGGTGCATCCGAACATTGGTGCGCCTTGTGTAGGTGAACTCGCGCTGCCGCCGTTGTTGCGGTGATACTTCAGCTGTTTGCGGCAAACGGCAGCCCGTCCTGGAAGCTGAACGAATCATCATGGACGACATGCTTACGAATGCGACTGGCTGCTGAAATCATGTTGCCTCATCCCAGGTCCGTGGAGAC